TAGAATATGCACAACATATGTATGCACTTATATGTACACATATTTTTGCATTTTCCCTCCAGTTTAAATATGCAACACACAGGAAAAGATGCTTGAGTATGTGTTTCGAAGTATCTAATTTTGCTCAAATCTGTTAGTTGCAGCATCAGAAAATTGCGTCCTCTGCTTTGTATCTACAGATTCAGGTACGGTGCCGACAGCCATAATGTGAGTTTTGTTACTTGGCCTTGTCAGTGACTCTAAGCTGACAGTAGATCATTGCCACATGGCCACGCCACTCTCTAGGGGAGTGGGAGACATTAACCGAGTCAGCTTTGTTGTGCGATATTAAATAAGGCAGTTTTATAAAGCAGGGCATCAGTCCGCTAAGAAATGGAGTAGAGAGCAAAAATTATGTACAAACGAGCTTTGAAAAAGACAACTTCCTGGGTGGACTCCCCTTGTCTAAGGGATGATGAAGAAGGCAGCCATACAATAACTGTGTCACACTGCACGGTTGCAGGCATAGTGGTTTTACAATATCTAACATTATTGGGGTTAGACTCTGATATGGTAAATTATGGGGAAAATCATGGATTAGTCACAGTAAAAATGTCAAAAGCAATAGGAATTATACTTAAAAAAACCACATGAAGTTATATATGTGAAATGTGTTTGTGGTCAAGTTACCATTGTAGACCAACAGTGGTTACAATTATTATTTATTTATACAACATTTTTTTATGGGACTATATTGATAAATAGAAGACAATATCCTATCCTATTTACAATGTCAAATGCCAGTCTTGTCACAGGACTCTGGTCAGCTATGAGAGGCCTAAGAGGCAGGAACATTCCTGCTAGATCCCTCCAACCCTTACGTGTTTCAAAGCTGGATCTCCGAACCCTTGCAGTTGAGTCCTTGGTGTTGTTCTAGGGGTGTGAAGAGGACAGGAAAGTAACACAAAACATGGGAATTGCAACACAGGCTGGCTTTTCTACTCTCAGAACCAAAGCAGGAAAAGGAGTAGCCAGTCAGTGTTCACTCACATCTTAGCTAGTCCTGAGGCACATTAGGCCAAGCCGATACCAAGGATCAAGGTGGTGCAAAAACACTTATACTACCATCTGTAGGGACTCAGACACAGACGGCACTGCAAACAGAGCCAGAGATACACAACTCCTCTTTGGAAGATGAGCTACTTGTTAAGGGAGCCCATCAGTCATGCATGTCAGCTCCAACAGTGTTTTGCCGGGGGCGTTAACAGATAAACTAACAGTTGTTGCTGGAAGGAATCTATCTTCCTCATGTTTGCTAAGTCCTACTTCAAGATATCGCTTAGTAAATAAAAAGTATCACTAATACAGCTTTTGGAGGAGGAAGGAAGAAGAACAGCTGAATAGGTGAATCTTGTGTAAGAGCTAGAGCTCCCAACTCTTTCTACCTTTGTAATACAATGATCACTGTAAAATCTGTGTGATTGGGAGAGTATGTGCTTTAAGAAGCATATACTCTGTGAAATATCCATGTCATTGATAACTTGACAACTACAATTTGACTGGCAGCATATGGCAAAGTCAATGTTATGACAAGCCATTCCTTGGGGCAGGAATACTAATGATCAAAGACTTTACTTAAGGGGTAGCACTAGTAGCGTTGATCGTATTAGAATCAGCTTAGAGTTTTTTCATTGCTTGAGTCAACTGAAAATGGGCATAAAAGGAACCTGATACAATTAAATATTTTTATTAAATGTTAAATATTTAATTCTTTTTACTTTATTGAAAAGGCATTCATTTCATTTAATCATCTTCATGAGAAAAACAAAAAGTAGTAAAATTTTGACATCAGAAGAATGCACTGGATCTGTAAGATCTTTAGACTATAATATCTCTCTTGCTCATTAAAACATTCAGATTTGGGGCTATTAGTAAAAATAAATTACTAATGTCTGAAACACACTAATATCTCCATGGCTTAGAAAACAGCACCATTGCTCTAAGGTGTTTATAAAGAGATGGTGATCAGAGTGTCTTAAGGTCTGTGAGAAGAAAATCTTGCATTGTTGCCACAAAAATATGAGGAATTTTCTCAATGCTCTGTAGTGCTGATATTCCCAAACTCTCAAAAATTATGGATTTATTGCAGAGAATCCATGATAATTTTAGGAACAATTAATTTACAAGTCTGTCTCTTTCCTGGGTTTTGACCTTATATTACTCACAATAGAACCTTTTCAGGACAAGGACTAAGGATTCATTCTCTATTGAAGTTGGACTGTCACACCACTCCAGCATATATCACTACAGGCAAAAAACATGCCGAATTTACTGTGAGTGTTACAGTTCAAAAAACCAGGGTGAGCATCTGAAAAGAGAAGGAGGAGCAAAACAGATTTCCTTCTTTCTGGGAAGAAAGTAGACTCTATACATCCTACCACAGTACAGTCCGCAGGGTGCATGCCATTTTATGCTCAGGGTCTTATTTGGTTTGCAATGTTTTTGTCCTTAACTGCATCTGTTTGTTCATTCCATCTTGTTAAAACACTGATTATCTGCCTAGAAAGCATCTTCTTCAGTATGCAGTGCACCTTTCTCCAGATATTTACATGCAGACTTATCACTCTTAGTCCTGATCTGAACAAAGTTGAAGCAAGACCATCAGTTTCTTCCCAATTTTCCCTTGCTTTTCTTTACCATTATTACCTGCAGAAGGTATTTGCTCTACCAAAGACAAAAGACTAAAATAGTAATAAATAAAGATTACTACCAGTAGTACTACCCCTAGCAATAATAGCAAAAAGCTAAAGAGATCCTTTCCAGAAGAACTAAGGCAACATTCTCTGCCAGCTGGACCTCAAGAAACCTCTGAAGCTCAGAGAGGTGCTATTGTCTGCATCCCAGGCTCTCCAGTCTGTTATCTATAGAAAGGTTCACTGAATCACACTGTAAGCAGAAAAGGATTGCGAAAAATGCACACCCAAACTGTTTGGGAGAACTTTTTTTAATTACCGGTGGGTTAGAGATAACACCTGTGTGTATTATTCTTTCCTTCTGCCAGCCACTGAGAGCCAAGGAAGGGTTAACATCGATCAAAATGAGAGAATCTCTGTGTCTTTCTGCTATTCTGATAAATACTCAAAAAAGTCTGGTTTATCTTAAAACATTTTCCTTTGTCAAAAGCCTGCATTTCGGCTTTGATTTGGAAGTTTATGAAAGTTACCTGCAAATATTTTCTGAGCTAGTTTAGTTTACCTGTTTTTCTAGGCATCCCCCTGTTTCAAAGAAAAAAAAAATTAAAAAGGGAAAAAAGGAGGAATCCATGTCATTCCAGAAGCAGTAAAGATACACACACAGGAAAATGTCAGAAATGTGTGGTATATACAGTAGAATACTTTTTACTCAAAGAAATGAAATGTCCTTTTTTTTTTTTTCACATATCACCTCCTCTCCATTAACATATATATCCATTCACGCCCTTTGAAGGAAGTTCTACCAAATAAAGTCAGGAAAAAACTGGACTACAGAGCTTAGCATTTGCTTAAGGGGATTTCCTGTCATATGAGGACAACTGGGGGGTTAAAGAATAAAATTAGATAGATACAGAGAAACATGCCATGAGAGAAAAATGGAACTGAGGGGGTGTCAATATAGTTTCAATTGGTCAAGCAGTAGAATTCACAGGGATAAGAACTGGGAATCTTCTTCCATCTCCACCACCCACCCTCAAAATTTCATTCCAAACCAAACTGCTGTTTTAAATGAAAAACATATTTTCTCATCAAGATTAATATATTACTATCGAGTTGTTTATCAAGTTCACTACTAATAAAAACATTTTGGAAACCTGCTGCGGTCCCTAGGGTTGCCTGAAGCATTCTATTCCAGGATGCTTCAGGAATGCTGGCCAGCTGCAAAACTGCGATGAGAGAGGAAACTTCTGGCATGCCCACATGTACCACAGGATTTTCTCCCTAGAGAAACTGTTCAAGAACATGGTGTATTATAAAAGCAATGCCACAAGTGCTGTAAAATCCAAATTTTCATTAAGGGCCTTCAGTGGGAGATTTAGTTAAAAATCATCATGTTTGATTTCTAGATTGAAGACAATTGCGTATGCTGGTTTTGATACAAAATCTGAAGCTATATTTAACAAGCGTCCTTACTGGCAGACATAATGCTATTTGGTAATTTAAGGGAGTTTGTCTGAAACTATGAAACATCATGTAAAAGTCAAAAGTACTAAAAAAAAGTCAAGTCAGTAAGAAACATGACTGCATTTGTTCTTTACGGAACAATTGTTGGGAAGACTGTGATTTCATTTTGCTACATCTAAATACACTGTAAATGTGATCTCTCTCAAAGACAAATGATACAGTTTTGATGTTTACCTCAGTGCATCTGTACTAGCTAGATTTCTAGGCCAGAAAAAAATCAGCTGAAAAGTTTGAAAACAACTAGTTGTTTGAGATTTTTGCTACTTCCTACATCTGAAAAGTCTGATAACAAGAAGAGGACCAAGCTTTCCTCAAAGTATTTTGGCACTTTAAATGCAGATCCAAAGCAAACCAAAAAATAAAGAAGAGGACAGAACATTAAAGATAATTCTGTCTAAAGCTCTGTGACTTTGGTCTCTCTTAAATTAAACTTTGTACATTTCCAGCTGTGTAAGGTATATATACATGTAGTGCTTTACAGGTTTCTAAGATCCCTTCTCTTTACCATCAAGACAGATTTGTTCTCTACAATAAAGAACCTTCTGATCTATCGTAACATGATTTTAGAGCTCTCACTTAGGAACAAATAATATTATTGCCTGTATCAGCAAGGAAATGGCAAGGTAAAATTTCCTTGATACTACTTCAATATACAAAGAGCTAGAATGTCAGTCTGGGATGAGTACAGCCAGCAAAATCCAACTGCTTTTTCAAGTAACCCCCAAATTCTTTTTCAAAACCCAGGTCCTCTTTCACCCTAGAAGGCAGATAGGAGGCAGAAAAAAGGTACAGGCGTGCACTTACCCTAAAGCCAGAGGTTTAATAGAGGTCTTCGTCCAACACTTTTCTGAATAACAGTTTACACCATATTAGGAATAGAGAAAGAGGTCCTGTACTTACAGAGGTATGTGTGGCACTCAGAGAGTACTGTGTCATGTGTGTGATAAATGGAAAAAGCTGGAAGTTAAAATTATCCCCACAGTAAACACAGAAAACACCACCTTTGGGCTCTGATGGGGAAAGGAAAAGTCATCATTTACCAGTTCAAAATTATTAGTCTACAGGAAGAATGTCGTAAATTTATGTTATTAATAGGGCTCCTTATGATGTCTCTCTCCATAAATTAATATATGAATGTTTCAGCATTAGTGAGCTTCCTAGAACTTCGTCCTTTAAATATGAAAGTTTAAACAATGGTAGGTACAGTGCATGCTCATGTGTGAATCCATGATGAGAACTCAGATCTTATATTTCTCAAACAAATACCATTGTACCATGTAGCACCATATTTCATTCTCCTAGCCCTATCTCCAACCTAAATAAATAAATAGATAAATAAAGCATCTGTCAGACCACCACTCCTTAAAAAAGGTAAGAAAACCAGATCTTACAGACTCTAAGCAATGGTGAGCCCAGAACCCTGGCAATGCCTCGCTCTCCTAATCATTACAATGTGGGGGTATTTTTTAAGTCCAACCTAAATCTCCCTAAATTCACTCATGACCTTTAGTTTTCTTTCTTTCTAAGTGATAATAAAGGAGTTGATACTTTGTCTATTTTCTAACATGAACTCTAATAGTTTTTAGAAGGTCCAAATGTCTGTAGGAGGAAAGAAAAAATGGAGGAAAAGTACAACCTCCTGTTTGTCTTGATGTCATACAATCCCGACCTTTTGTGAGACTATAAGGCTGTATGTAAATAAAGTGTGAGAATCTGTATGTCCCAGGCAATGTTTAAAGAGTTCTGAACTTACCTTCTACCTAGATCACTTTTTTATGCATATCAACCCTATCTCTTGACAGATATTCTTCCCCCCAGCTTCTTGCCCCCCACTCACCAGCATGATGCTGCTTATCCAGTTCTTGCCATTTTTGTTAGCCAGTAGGAGTGTTGAATATTTTGGAAGGAAAACAAGAGAAGGAAGTAAGAGTGAGTTTGGTTTTATGCCAACTAAAACTGAAAGCAGATTATCTTGTCCTACCAATCTGATGTCTGAGTTATGGTATTCCATCATGACACCACACCAGAAGCCTTTACAGGTGTCTGCCGAGTGGAAGGAGAGTGCTGAAAGAAGAGAGAGTAAGCCAGAGCTGCTTTCCCTTTCAGCCTATTTCTGAAACCCAGACGGAAGTGCCATTGGGACATCACGTCATCTTCTCTCATAGCATGAGTCATTTGAGTCCGTAGCTCTCACTTACTTCTCTAAAAATTCACTCATTCATTATTCTATCAGTTTAGATTACCAACTATGAAAGCTGGGATATAACAATTTCTGGTCTTTTTACAAAAGGCTGTTTACTCATGTGCAGCTGTCCTGCAGGCAGTCAAATGTATGTTCTTCTATTTACTATAGAAAAGCATGGTATGGCTCTGGAGCTGCTTCACTGAAACAAGAAGAAAATAGTGCAGAAGGAAGGATATTGCTGTCTTTCTCACTTGATACCCACTGGTAACTCTAGGCCATAATTATATAACAACATGTCACAAATCAGGGAAAAACTTGTTTTCAGAGGGCAAAGGAAGAACATTTTGCTGCTGCTTGTCTCCAAGAAGTCTTTGTTCTTTATACCCTTCTCAGTCTGCGAATAGCTTTTTTAGCCTCCAACAGCAGCTTGCCAAGATTACCTACATAGACAGGTCCCAAGCTGAATGGGTGCTTGCTAGTCAGGTGTAGCCTTATGGAGATAAAATGCAAAATACTTTTCAGTTCTGCCTTTTTTTTCTATTCCGCAGTGAAACCTAGGAGTCTGCTTTTCAATGTACTTTGTTAACGGAGACCTAAAATATAGACTTTTTGCTATAGCGAATACTGCAGAAAAAAAGGACCCAAGAATTTAGGCTTCTCCTCCCACCCTTATCAGCAGCTGATGGGTTAACTCTAATCACCTTGCTTACCCATGGCTTTGTTTCTCTGTATTTTGAAGCTGGTGTTACTTTGCAAAATACTTTCAGAGAAGCTGATAAAAATTACCTACAAAAACCTATCAGTATTGTGCTTATGGTAGAAGTTATTTGCACTAATAACTCCTAATATTTGCTGCTTAAAAGTATCCTATTGTTTACAGATCCCCCTTTATATGCATCTTTTTACCTCCTATTGTTGCAAACAGCACCTTTGTGCCTTTAAAAGTTCTATTCATTATTACAGATTCTCACTTCTAGTCAACTTGCCCCATTGTTTATATGAGAATATCCTTACACATGAAAAAGAAAAATCAGTGAGTTTTAGAAAGAAATTTTGACTGCAAGACTGCATTGATTGACATCAGACTTGGAAGTAAGTTTAATTGTCAAATGGAAATTTTTTGCTAGTGTTTTTTTTTTTTTTTAGTTCATGTGTCAAATTATATGTAAACTTAAAGTGGCCATTTAGGTAGGCAACAAAATATTTAAGACTGGAACCTGTCCATAGTGAAGTCACTAGGAGATTTGTGCTGATTTTATTAGCAACATGAATCTTACCCTGAAATTTTATCTGAAAATCTTGGGTATTCAGCTTTCACAGACATAACATTTCCTTCTGATTTCTGGTGTTCACTTTTTCCATTCTTCTAGCTGCATGCTAATTTTTTTTCCACCCTGCACAACTCTGTAGAAGGGACGCAAGGAAAAGAGCATGCTGTTTCCTTTCTAATTTCCAAAAGATTTTTCTGTGAAGAAAATGATCAATATTCTGGTACAGTATCTGGATAGCCTTGTTTGTCTTTTGAAGCAAGGATGGCTCCTCAGGAAATCTATAAATGCATGTTCACACTGGCAAGAGTTGGTTGAGGGTTCTGCACTCACCAAAGTCACTAAGTGACTTCAAATGACCAACTAGAGTGCACAATATATCAGGAACACATCTTTTATTCAAGCAGAAGCAATATGTCTTCTGATAACCACTGTAGCACAGTAAAAACGAAAGATGGGGTATGAACATAATCCCATAACCCACTGTGGACACCCAAGCTGGTGTCAGTTCTGTGTTCTGATGATGATACTAGATATTGACGAAGATATCTATGAAAATACCATTTTCTTGCACAGAATCTCACACTGACTTGCTTCTCAAAAACTGGAGCATTGTCTAATCAGTTAGGCATTTTTAACATAGCAGGATTATTTCACTTCAAAACTTAATTCTTTCTGAAAATCCCTAGAGTAATGACATCAATCAATGCTCACTAGTGATTAATTTGTTTCATTAATGTTAACAACTTCAAGTGTGCTACTGGCAGGCTGTCCACTGTCCTGGTGATCTTCAGGAAGAGGCTGCTCCTCTGGATATCTGGCTTTAATCTTGTGTCCTTTAATTCCTCTTACAACCATGTCAGTTTTGGATGTTATGGGTTTGAATTTTTTGGGGGATGTGTGCATCAATCACTTGTTAATAAATTACTAAAACAAACATGTGCAGGACATCTGAAAAAAACTACTAAGAACTGGCCAGCATCTACTTAAAATTCAAGTGCAGCAGCAATTTAATAACAACAACTCCTCCAGAATGTGGCCATAAGGAAAGAGTTTGCACAATCTGTTCATCTGCATAATTAGTAATTGAGGACCTGAGAACAGTTGGAACATTGCTGTGGGCAACCCAGGTCAGATCACTGATAACATAAATAAAAAAGATTCAGATTTCCAAAAACTACAAACATCAGAATGGAGCTAACAACAACCCTAATAAGAGCACACAAAACAAACAGAAAGAGGGATAATACAGAAAGCCATGAAAGGCCATAAGGCTACTGCAAAAAACAACCCATACAATATTAATTCCATTGGAGGCTTAAAAGAATCATGAAAAGAACACTGGAGGGGGGTGGGGGAGTGGAGGGGGGGGGGAGAGGAGATGGGAAAACACAGTAACTTCTATCACTTATCATTATCATAATGGAACAAATATATGAATACTCCTGCCAGACACATATTTACAAGTATCCCACTTAAGCATTAGTGCTTTATAAATCTAATTATTTATACCCATGTAGTAGTATGACTAATCATTTCAGGATCAAAAATTCTTATAGCCACAGTGCAATCCTCTGCTTTCACCAGATCACAGTGTGAAAACATGGACTGCACAAGGCACTGCAGAGCCAGCTGTTAGGCTTTGGGAGATGAAGTGTAATACAAGAGAGGTAGTCATGCGCTAATCAGCTGGGGCTTCATTCTTTCTAGTGATTAAGTTTGCTGTATTTTCATTGGATACAGACGTGCATCAGGATACCAACCTTCCTCAAGCTGAAACAGCACAAAGGACTTTGGACCTTTGCCAAAATGGTTTTTGCCAAAAAAAAGTTGATTCACCCAAGAGTGCTTTGATTAACTTGAGACACTACTTCAAGGTAGGCCCTTGCTAGATCTGTTTGTTAACTTCATTTCTTAAGCACAGCACAAAAGCATTATCCAAATGAACTGGCTATCAACATGTAGTTTATGTGTATTTATCTGTTGCACCCTCCTGGCAGGTCATAAGCAACAGTCACTCAGTCTGTTGATTTGTATTGGCAGAAAGCCAGAGTTTTGCTATATGATACTACATCACAAGATTATAATTTTTCTTTTTTGCAAAAATATGAAAAGTAGCCTATATGCTTGGGTGTTCACCAAAGTTTGATGAATATAAATGCTTGAGGACCCAAAATATCAAATCAAATATCAAATAAAGTAAAGGAGGACTCTAGGTTCTCTGCATTTATAAAAATCAAGATTGATTTATCACAAACTCAGGTGACATAAGAAATAATACCTGGAGGCAGAGATATATTTGCCATTCTGTCCCTTGTAGGAACATTATGTTATTTGCAATGGGATTAACATAGCAGTTGGAACTGTAATGCCTTTGTCCCTTGGGTATGAAAGGTAAAAGATTAGGGTAAAGGACGAACACAGAAATAACAAATGCCAGAAACAGGACAGCAA